ATAAGCACTCAATAAAAACTCGATGAATCAGTGGATTTATAAATGCATCAGATTTGTAAATTATTTGCCTTGTTTTTCTAGTTATGGCCATTTGAAAATAAAAAAAAAGAACTAGATTTAATAAGCCACTAATCTATCATTACTGAGCTATTTGCATTAGCCATGACTTCCATCACTAATTGCTTTCTGTGTAGGAAATATCCAACAATGGCATGGAGAGAAGACAGAAGACCAAATGAGAGAAAGCAAGTGGGAAGAGCAGCAATTACTCAGAAGTAGAACTAATTGTCCCCACTCCATTGCCTTCAGCTTCAGTTCACATAATAACTGTTTCTGTTCTCTTTTTGACTCTAGTATGCATGTCAGTCCCACCATCAGATAGCAAGGAAAATTTGCAAATCTTTTTTCTTTCCTGCCAGGTCTAGGTCATGCACATAACCAGTAAGTAGATCAAATGCCCACATGAAAGGCCTGCTCCAGCTGTGAGTTCATTTTGCCATATATGAAGCTATATAGAAACAGTTCCTGGGCTGGAGAGATGGCTCAGTCATCAGAGGTGAAGGCTTACAACCAGAAGGACAAGGGACAGTTCCTGAGAGTAGGGTCATTTTATGTTTCCATAACTTTTTCTGATGATGTTTTTAATTTTTTGACATGAAAACATAAAGTGGTTTAGATTGTTGATAGGTCCCTTTTGAGTCTACATAGATCACCAAGGAATTTAATTGCAATAGGTAAAAGTTTCCATATACAGGACGATATAAATTCAGGAACCTATGGTCAAAGTCCTTCAAGATTTATCTAAACATAATTCATGTTCAATTCATCTATTTCCTCAAATATCAAAGATAATCCTTTTCAATTGGTTTTATGCATTTTCACTTATAGAGATCACACAAACCCTTTAAAACATTATTATTTCATTTAAATTAGTAGAAAATTGCACTACCCCTAGTCATTTCTCTTTGAGGTTATGCTCATGAGAAGGTTTCCATACTCCAGTGGATGGCCCATGCCTGTGTTTATATGGACAACACTAAACAGACACACTGGAATACACTTTTTTAAAAAAAGACAAGTTGGGATGGGGACATGATGCATGTTTCAATAGGAGTTGGAAGGAAGAAACTAGACATGGGTATGATCAGCATAAAGTATATACATGTAGGAAAAATCAAATAATAAATAAAATATACCTTAATTGAGGGCTGAAGTGATGGTTCGGCAGTTAAGAGCACTGGCTGCTCTTCCAGAAGACTTGGGTTTGTTTCCTGGTACCTACATGGTGATTCACAAGTACCTTTAAATCCAGTTCCAGAAGATCCAACACTCTCCTTTGACCTTCACTGATGTGAGGTACACAAGCATTACACAGATGAAATATATGCATGCAAAACACTCACACACATAAAATAAAAATGAATAAACTTTTAAATTTTTTCTTCACTGTAAAGGGGTTGGAAATTGCACAAGTTTAAAATTTTCTGATCTAGACAATGACCACCATCTCGTCCACTGGTGTGGCATGTTCCTAACCCTAATGATTATGCAAAAAAGTATAAAAAATCATGTGCTGTCTGAATATACCAGTGTTTCCTTCTCCATATACCTTGCATCAGTTAGAATAGCCTCTTTTTTTCTGGTCTTGTTTTTTTTTTCAATCATTCTTACTTCCATATCTTCTTTATTATATACCTTGAATATTTTTTCTTGCCATACTTCTCCAAAGTGTACCCCTCTATCCAAGCACAGAAAATGTTTGTTGAACTATGCTTTTGCTGATTTTTTACAACCAATGATCTTTACATTCTTTAAACTTCAATAACACCATGTAAAAAATCTGATAATTCTTTTGTTTAATTTCTGGTTAAAAACATGTTCTAAGTTTTGGTTGTATAATTTTGAAGGTCTGTATGTTTGTAGCAGAAGGCATTTCTGAAGTAAAACAAGGGTCATAATTAACAATCAATTCCCTTCACACATTTTTTTAAGGAACAAAAATGGTTTTGTTATTCAGTTCCTAGGGGGGAAATGTGAAAAGTAAATTTAACTCAACAGAAATCTTAGCTCTGACTGTGAAAACATCAATACATGACTGAGAAGTTCTCTGAAGGAAAGGGATTCTGATTTATTCTGGCATTTTCGTCAACATTATTAATAGCAGCAATGTTAATATTAGTGCGGCTGTTATTGTTGTGGGAAAAGAGCAACAAAAAGCGCAGTTTTCTGCTGCAGGAAGGTAAAAGGCTTCAGGGAAGAACACAGACACCAGTCTCCAGACAGGGAATGCTAGAGATACAAAATAATACTTCTTCTGATCAATTCAGAAAGAAATGAATAAAGAGCTTTCTCTTGAAGAAGATAAAATAAAGGAACAAGCTCAGTATAATCCATTGTGAAGACTTAAATCTTTTTCAAATAATGACTTAGAATAGCACATTGATTTTCTTAACTCTGTTAACTACTCTTAAAGGTCCAATCAAGTAGCTCAGATCAAACATTCAACCAATATTTATTGAGTAGTGCCATGCTCAAGGCATTGTGCTGAATGTTAGAGCAGACCCAGGAGAAATCAGATATCACCAAATGAGTTTAACACAGTGAGATTTTTGTTGTTGTTGTGAAGTGGTGGGATGGCTAGGTACCTCATGTCCTTAAAATGTGCCTGGTCCTAGGTTCTATCCCCAGCACCAGAATATAGGGACCATTGTTTGAGGGGAAGGAAAGAAGGGAAATGAGGAAGGGCAGAACAAGGGAAGGACTACCACATAGATTAAAAAAAAAAAAAACTTAACAATCTTTGATTTGCTTCTCATCCAGCACATGCATTTTTTTGTCATTTCCTTTTCTTAATTTTGCCCTCACTATATTTTTTTTATGTTCTTCCAAGTCATCATGTACAATCACACCCACCTCATGACTCAGCCTCATCAAATTGTTTGTGCCAGAATCACATGTCCCTGGACTTTCTCAGGTTGTTCCTTCTGCCTCAATTACTCTTGAAGACTAAGCTAAAAATCATCTTCTAAGTGAAATTTGCCTGACACTTCTAAGTCAAAATAATCCTCCTTCCATGATGTTACATCGCCTAATAAATAAGTGATTCACAGTTTGAAAGTGGGTGGCATTATTTAGTTTATGTCTCATCCTCCATTTCAAATGGCTGTGAAGTTAGGATCAGTTGCATGAAACAAAACCCATAAAATTTAATGAAGTGTCTTGTTACTTCTCCATTACTGTAAAGAGATATGACCAAGGCAACTAATGGAAAAAAAAGTATTTAATGAGGGCTTTCTTATAGTTTCCAAGGGTGAGTTCATGGCCACCATGGCAAAGAGTATTGTGAGAGCTTAAACTTGATCCACAGGTGAGAGACAGAGAGAGAGAGGAAGAGAGAGAGAGAGAGGGAGAGAGAGAATTAAAGAGAGACAGAGACATAGAGACAGATACAGAGTCAGAAATGGAGACAGAGTGAGGAGAAAGAGAGGAGGGAAGGAGAGAGAGAAAAGAGAGTGGGAATAGAGATAGGTGATAGATAGATAGATAGATAGATAGATAGATAGATAGATAGATAGATAGATAGATATAGACAGATAGAGAGACTGGGTGGGTCTGGTGTGGGCTTTTGAAACCTCAAAACCCACCCTCAATGACACACCTTCTCCAAGAAGGCCACACCTTCTAACCCTTCAAAATAGCTTATCAACTGGAAACAAACATCAAATATATAAGTTTATTGGAGCCATTCTCATTCAAAGCACCACATGAAGAAGGTAACCAAACACAAGGATGATGTATTTATGATCACTGGAAGGGATGGGGGGCAGTGATTAGTTGTTTGGACCTATACAAATGCTTCTTGAACAGCCTATCTGTTCAGTCTCCACAGAGAACCTTTGCCACAATTAGGACAGTGAGTGATGAAGAAGCCAGCACTAGAGAACCTGAGCTGTAGAACTCAATGTTATACATGCCATCCAGTGGTGTGCACAGCCATCATCATATTACCATTAGACCCCATCCACAAAGCTAACTACAGGTACTTCATAAAAAACCCACCCTCTTTTCTATAGCTATGCTTAATGGCAGTAACAGCCAGGCCAGTAGAAAAGCCACTTCCTCATTATTGCCTCCAAATGCAACAGAGTGCATTTTTTTTCTGGGTAAATTCAGATAATTATCTAGAAGAGACTGAGATACTTTTAAATTAGTTTAATGTAACATAGAAAAGTATGTAAGAAATTGCTATAGATGATAATAAGAAATTGCTGTAGATGATAAGTAACAATCTACCATCATATGTATGGTATATCTTTAGCAACTCAAAATAGTTCTGGCTCACAGGATGCATTTAATAAATACTTGGTGAATTTATGAATTCTAAATATAAGAATGCCAAAAGGGCTGTTGGTAAATTTTTTGTTAAGAAAATTTTTAATTTCATTTTACATACCAATCAAAGATCTCCCTCTTCCCACCCCTCTAGCCTCTCCCTCCCAACCCACCCTCCATTCCCTCCTACAAGAAGGTAAGGCCTCCCATGAAGAGGTACATTTAGTAGAGGCTGTGTGAGGTGTCCCATCATAGAAGTGGGCTCCACAAAGCCTGCTCATGTACCAGAGATGGATTCTGATCCTAGTGCCAAGGGGCCCCTTAAGGAGATCAAGCGACACAACTGTCTCACTATGCAGAGGGCCTAGTGTAGTCCCATGAAGGCTCCACAGCTGTTGATCTAAATTTCATGAGAATGAAATTCTCATATTCATGAGAATGACAAAAAGCTTGGTGATATTTTTTTAAAGATGCTCCTTTTTTCTCTTTTTTCTTGATTGCAAATTATTATTTATTTTAATTGATTATTGACTTTTTCAGTTTTTAGAAAGGGAAAATATGCAGTAATACTTATAAACTTTATTATAAAGTGAGAGGTAATTTATTAAATGAATTGCAAAAGAACAATATATTCACCAGCAAAATGATGATATAGAATTTTTTTTTTACATCAGACAGGTAATGTGTCAATATCATAACAAGGTTTTGTGGGTGGCACACATCACGCATTGGTGTGAATCCTTAATCATCACGCTTACGAACCAAAAAAGGATCTGATACAGAATTTTCAATTGAGAAGAGATGATTGTAGTGGGTAGCCATTCCAACCTTGATCTGGAAGTTCCAACCCCGATTGAGGCTTCGGTAACTGTCACGCCTACAAGGCGGGGCCAAAAGACGACCCTGAAGACCCGAGATCCAGATGCGCTATTTCTCTTGGTTCCCAGACCCTCGACACTGGAGGTAGACCGAGCAGAGTTCTCCAGAGAACACCATCGGTCTGCCCTATGTCTTTCCCAGACCCTGCGACCTATCTATCCTCCATTTGTAAGTTATGCCACTAAATAAACCTCCCTTTTAACCATGTGGAGTGGCCTTAATAATTTCACCAATACCTGGCGCCCAATGTGGGACAAATTCAAAAGGCCTGCATGGCTCCCACCCTCAGCTTCCTCCCCGGCTGGCAGGTACCTAAAGCCACCTGCAAAGTTCCATATAACCAGGGAACGTCTACATGGTTCCATTCCCAAAAACAGGAACAGCTAGTCCGGTCTCAGTTCCCTAGCTTAGCCCCCAGACCAGAGAAAAACCACTGTGAGTGAGCACCCCTCCACCTTTAGAAACGTGGATTACAGTCAAATGCTATAGCCTGCCAGGAAAATAAATTCCAATTGAGTTAAGTGTATGAATATGAGAAAGTACAACTTTATAAATGGGAAAATTAAAGAAAACTCTCAGGGGGCTGGTGGGATGGCTCACCAGTAATGAACAGTTGTTACTTGCCCAGAGAACCCAAATTCAGTTCCTAGCACACCCATGTCAGTCAACTCACAACCATCTGTAATTCCATCTCCAGGAAACTGAAACTTCTGGATTTTTCAGTTACCTCCATTCATGTGCATCTACCCAAGTGAAGACACACATACTTACACATAATTGAAAATAAAAGCAAATCTTTAAAAGTCTTGGATTTTTTAAATTAATCTTGGGAACAGCAAAAGTCTAAATTCAAATAATAAAAAGGAGCAAAGCATAAGGAAAGCACCAAAATCTGATGACTAAAAAGTGAAAGTTTGCATGATGTAATGATAAAATTAATGTAAATTACATACATCAAGTATGGATTGATACTGAATATCTAAAAACTATCTTTATAAAAGAACAAGTGGGCCAATTTGTAGGCACAACACTATTCACTTTATTATCCTCTGTACTTTACTGAGTGCTTAATATCATTTATAGTAAGAATAGGTTAGAAAAAGGATATACTGCATTATTTAAAATGTTAAATCTCTGATTGAGCCAGTAAGATGACTCAGCAACTAAAGACATTTGCTGGCAAGATCGATGACCTGAGATTGATACCTGGGATCCACTTTGGTGGAAAGAGAGAACTGACTTCTTGAAGTTGAGTTTGGACTTGGCACATGCCTGCTGTGCCACACACATGCCTGCACATATACTCTTCTCTCTCTCTCTCTCTCTCTCTCTCTCTCTCTCTCTCTCTCTCTCTCTCTCTCACTCTCACTCTCACTGACTCACACACTCACACACACACACAAATAACCAAAGAATAAATAAATAAATAAATAAATAATAAATATGTAACAAAAATACCAAGAGTAGAAAGTTATGTTGGTGCCATGACAACATGGATTCTTAAATTAGACTACAGAGCCATGGTAATAAATGTGTGTGATACTAACACAACACACACACACACACATAGACCAACAAAGCAGAAGACAGAATCCAGAATTAAACCCACAGTTAACACCTGCTTAGTTTTCAAGAAAACTGGAAAATCTACACTGGAAAAAAACAACCTCTGTTAACAAATGGTGCTGGGAAAATAAAATAACATGTAGAAGAATGAAACTAGATAAAAATCTCCCACCCTGGACAAAAGTACATTCAAGTTCTTAATGTAAGACCTGGTAGAAAATGGAAGCATAGGCAAAACACTCTAACAGCTTAAAAATAATTCAAAAAACTGGAATTGGCTGAAATGAAAAGGCTTCTGCATAGTAAAGGAAGCAACTGAGAAGAGAAACATCCTAGAGAAACAGAAAACATTTTTGTAACTATACATCTAACAAAGAATTAATAACTAGTATTTGTAAAGAATCACAAAATTATGTACCAAAAGCTTCACATCATTCATTCAGACAATGGGCTAACTACCTGAACAGAAAGTTCTCAGAAGAAGAAATACAAATGTCCAATAAACATTTGAAGAATTGTTCAATATCCCTATCCATCAAGGAAATACAAATTCAAACTACTTTGAGATTTTATCTCAACCCAGTCAGAATGCATACTATCAAGATATGAAATAAAAATTTCTGGTGAGGATGTAGAGAGAAAGGGAACCTTATATATTCCATTAGGAATGTAATCTGTTCTAGATATTATAGAAGTCAATGTAGACATTATTCAAAAACTAAAACTATAACTACCATACAATCCAGATATACCACTCCTGCCCACATAGCCTAAGGACTCTAAGTCACCGTACCGTAGCAATAATTACATGTTCATGTTTGCTGCTGTACTATTCATATTAGATGCTGTGGGATGATCTGTATGGCAAACATGTTAATAAATAAAACACTGATTGGCCAATAGCTAGACAGGAAGTATAGGCGGGACTAACAGAGAGGAGAATTGAGGGAACAGGAAGGGAAGGGGGAGACTGCCTGCAGCTGCTGCCAGGACAAGGAAGATGTAAGGTACCAGTAAGCCACGAGCCACGTGGCAAAGTATAGATTAACAGAAATGGGCTGAAAATAAGAGTAAGAGCTAGACAATGATAGGCCTGAGCTAATGGCCAAGCAGTTTAAATAATATAAGCGTCTGTATGTTTATTTTGTAAGTGGGCTGTCAGACTGCCAGGGCTTGGCGGGACCCGGAGAGAAAACTCTCCAGCTACAATTAGATAAGAAATAAAACCAGCCAAAGGGTCCATTAACAGATAACAGTAAAGGAAAATGTGGGATATATACAGAGTGAAGTTCTGTTTAAATATAAAGAAGAATGGATTGATCATATAAACATAAAAAGAGATGGAATTAGAGGCCATTCTGTTAAGTGAAATAAGTCAGGCTTGGAAAGACAAATGCTATAAGTTTTGTGGGTCTATCTTCTATGCAGAATCTAGATTTAAGTATGTTTGTGTGTGCGTGTACACATTTTCACAAGTCATGAAAGTAGAAATTGAACTATGTGAGGGTAGGAAAAGGTCTTAGAAGTAGAGGAAGGGAATAAATGAGGTAACAAAATACATGTTATATGAAAGAAGAGAGAGGACTATTTGGGTGATCAGCAAGGAGTGAGTATGGAGATAGATAAGGATATGTGGATAAAGAATTGTGACATATATGAATTATATATATAATAAATATATTATATAATAATATTATTATATTATATATAATATTATATATATTGTGTATGTATGTGTATATATATATATATATATATTATATATATAAAATGATAAATTGTCTTGTGCTGTTTGAGCTGGCTAAGAAGCTGGCTCTAGAAACAGGCTTGTACTCCCACTGCCATTTCAGACCCAAGCATGTTTGACTCAAAGTAGCCACCAAGGTCTTTGTCTAGAGTGGGCTGTTCTACCAACTCTGTAGCAGGAAGGGAAGAGAGCAGAAAAACAGCCCAGGAATGAAAATATTGCATTCTTGGAACAGCTAACAAGTAAACCATTTCTAACAGAGGTTATTACTGTTTATCCCATGATATAAAAAGTATACAGTGGGAAAGAGAAACCAGAAGTTGAGCCATGGTAAATCCATCCATGGAGAGAAAGCTCAACTGGAAACTCTAGCTGACTGACTCAATGATACCTCCCCAGTTGATTACTGGTGGACGTTAATAACTCCTGATTTGATGTTACCTTTCTTTTACATTGAAGCCTCACCCAAGGGAACCTTCTGCTTTACCTTGGACTCTCTTAGTTGGGAACTTAAACTAGCTCCCTCAATGAGGTTTCTCTATCTAGTTGATTTGTACTGGATGTTTGAGCTCCCAATTTGATGATATTCTGCTGTCTATCTATCTATCTATCTACCTACCTATCTACTTATCATCTACCTACTTACTTAGCTAGCTATCTAGCCCTTGCTACTTATGATTAGTTGTTGTTTTCAGACACGGTCTCACTATATAGTTCTGGCTGTCCTGGAAGTCAAACTCAATGAGACCTGCCTGCCTCTGCCTCTGAAGTGCTTGGGTTTAAAGCATGCCACTATTCCTGGCTGCTATTTATTACTTTAAAGTGGTTTTCTAAACGCTAAACTAACTCATTAAAAACAAAAAAAAATGGCTATCATAGATCATTTTCCAGACAGTACAGAACAAAATGCTATAATGAAATCCATTACTTTGTACATTAACTTAAAATATTAATTAAAATAAGACTAGATTATAGAAAAGGATATACAGTATTATTTTAAAATATTTGTTCAGTCATACAGGTATTTTGAAATTTTAAGTAATTATAATTGGCACACAATTATTCTACATATTTATGCAATATAGTATATAATCCAATATGTGTATAAAATGTATAATGATCAAACCAGAGGAATTAGCATGTTTCTACAAAAAACCTTCAAACACTTCCAGACATTTTGCAATATATAATAAGTTGTTAAAGGTTATATTCATCACATTCAACTACAGAACCTTCAATATTATTGTTCTTCCTGACTGTGGCTTAGTATCTCTTCTTACTATCTTTCTCTACCTCCTCTGTCCCCATCCCTTCTAAACTTATAGTAACATCATTACTCCACTTCTGTGAGAACAAACTTTAATTTCCGCATACGAATGAAATCATGCAACATCTATCTTTCTGTCCCTTTGTTCACTTAACATAATGATCAGCTGTTCAATCCAGCACAAACAATCAGATATAACATCTTACTGGTGAACACAATTATGTGCCTGTCCCATGCTTTATCAAATTTCAATTGATGGAAAGCTAAATCATTTCCATAGCTCAGCTATTGGGAGCAGTGGTGAGATTAAGTTC